AACGGGGAGAGAAAACGAAACGAGAATCAACCGTGTGCGCTACGCGCGCAGGAAACGCGCGCGAGCCGCTCGTTTCCGGTCGATTCGAACGGAAAAGAATCGTTATGGGGTGGAAAGAAAGTTTTTTGAAAACGTTCATCGTTTTTACACCGCGCGCGCGCTTGCGTTCGCGTTTCCTGCTGTTCCTCGAGCGATATACTTCCGGGATATTTCGAGAATCGTTTCAGGACGTTACACATTTTGTTTCGTTTATAAAAAAATACGCTATATACGATTTAGGAGGACGAGAGGCTCTTTTCTTCGCTTTTCCCCGTCGAGTACAGCGCGCGCGCGCTTCCGTTTCTTCGTCTGATTCTTTTTCCGCTCTTTTTTCTTCAAATGAAAATCGATACAACAACAACAGCGGCGGCGGCGGCGGCGGCGGCGGCGGCAGCAGCAGCAGCAGCAGCGATAACAACAACAACGACCGTGACATGCAAGCAAAAGGGGTTGAGAGGAGAAGGGGGCGAGAGACATTTTCTCTCTCTCGTCCAGCCGGCCGGAGCGTGTAAACCGATCCACCGAACACACTTTCTCTCCCCGACTAAAAATAAAAAGAAACAATAGAACAACGTCAAATAACAATCGTATGATTTCAATAAACATGCTGAGATATTATTAATATACGGTTAATACAGCGATGCGTGAAAGACGACGGAAACTGGTCCCCAGTCATATTTTTATTTGGAAGTACAAAAATGCTCTCCGCAGCCTTGACTCTATTATTCCGTCCGCTTAAATTACAATGCTTAAACGTTCTCCAACTAAAATAAAAGAGAAAAAAAAGGAAAACATTTTATATACATACATATATACATATATATATATATATTTATATGAAATATATACATATGTATATATATATATATGTATGTATACGGTATATAGTTTTGCGTGAGTGCGTGTGCGTGTGCGTGCATGTGTCGAACGATATGACAATCAAAGAAAAAATAAAAAGGTAACGGGGGATTGTCATCACGAATACACGTGGTGTCTCGTGAGTCCCGGATTAATTATATAAATCGGCAGTGTATGCAGCACGTAAGAATGATTGTGAGAAGCGTACCAACAATGTTCAATACCCTCGTAGTTCTATTGAAACAATACGATTTTTATTTATAACATTTCTTCGCACGACGATTATTACAAAAAGTTGAAAAACTGTGACGACCGATCAAGTCTCACTCTCTGTACACACATTAATATTGTCCCGCAAAACGTTTAATTGCGTTTTTTTCTCGTTCGTTCGTTCGTTTGTTTGTTTGTTTGTTTTTCTTTTTCTGCTTTGTTTCCTTTCGTTCAAAGTGTTCCGCGTTTCTTTTCGTTTTATCGAATATATATGGTCACGGCGAAATGGCTTAACGTCGACGACACGACACCGGAATTTCTACCGTCGGTTTGGAAAACCTTCGATCCGCTCTTTGCTTTTGCTCGTCTAACTCTCTCTCTCTCGTTCT